CGCTGTCCTGACTGGGGGGTACAGACGCTGTCCTGACTGGGGGGGTACAGGCGCTGTCCTGACTGGGGGGTACAGACGCTGTCCTGACTGTGGGGTACAGACGCTGTCCTGACTGGGGGGTACAGACGCTGTCCTGACTGGGGGGTACAGACGCTGTCCTGACTGGGGGGTACAGACGCTGTCCTGACTGGGGGGGTACAGGCGCTGTCCACTGACGCTCTGAACTCTCCAGGTCGTCGGCACGTGCAGGTCAGGCTGGTGGAGCCGGTGACGAGCTCTCTGAACAGCGGGGACTGCTTCCTCCTGATCACGCCCAGCCGCTGCTTCCTGTGGGTCGGCGAGTTCGCCAACGTCATCGAGAAAGCCAAGGTACCCAGCGCAGCGCCCAAACACAGGCAGTCAGAAATCCGCTCGTGGGGTGCTGAGAGCACGCTCATTCATTTCTGATTATTCTCCCATTGACACAGGTTCATGTAACATACAAAACAGACATTCATTACTGCAAAGGATCAAGTAAAGGTTTATTCCACGCAGAAAAGAGAAAAAGGGAAACACATCGTTTCGGCTGCGGAGCCTTCTTCGGGTGTTTTCTTCTGTTCTCGGCAGGAATAAACCTTTACATGTTCCGCTGCAGCTCCCTACTCGCACAACATTTGTTACTGTATATTCACTGTGTATTTAAGCATCTGCTATGAAAGCTAGTTAAAAACCAATTTTGTATCCCTATGTTCAAGACTAGCAGCTCCTTAAGTAAGTGTTCCCCCTGTGGACTCCTGTTCTGTGCCATTGACGCTAGAGTGACTTGTAGTAGCCGCAGAGGTGGCGGTGGCCGTACAGTGTGCGGATCTCACTGGGGAGACGGTGCTGACAGCCTCGGCTGTGTCTCGCAGGCCTCGGAGCTGGCGGCCTTCATCCAGACCAAGCGGGACCTTGGCTGCAAGGCGGCCCAGGTCACCCTGCTGGAGGAGGGCGTCGGCACGGAGAGCAGCCGGGCCAAGGAGTTCTGGAGCCTTCTGGGCGGGAAGGCGGAGTACCGAGGTAAGGGCCCGCGAGAGGGGGCTCGTTCACATCCCGCCGGCCCCTGTGTGGCGCTTGTGACTGATTCCACGACTTACCTGCCCAGCGTGTGTCCGGGCAGAGCTCCGGTCGTTCATTACTCTTACAAGTTTCTTATGTAATTGTGTCCCTTACGTAGTTAGAGCCTCTCTAATGTGATAAGCAAATACTTAGTTCCTTCTTTGATTCTTTGATTCTGCATATGCTGTGTTTCCTAAGAAGTGAAGCCAGCATTTATAGGAAAAAACTGAGAAAAAAGAACTGAGACTCTGTCATAGTGAGTACACATTTTGTCCGAAAATGTTGATTTTTAGCAAAAAGAAAATTCTTAAAAACTGACATTTTTGTGGCATTTAAGGCATCATCATCAGTCACTCTCTTGTTCCTAACCCAGAGAGGATTAACAGGACATTCAGAGATTCTTGTTCAAAAATTAAATTCACTTGGCAATTTTTTAAACTAGAGAGACAGATTGATTAACAATGTAGTGCATTAATTCATGAAGGAAGTGGGTTGGAAAGTTGTCATGGTTGTAAGGGCTCCTCACTGAAAGGTTGTGGGTTACAGCATCCAGACCTGTGTGAGAGTATCCCCCTCCACAGTGTGACTGGCTGTCCCTGCCGTCCAGTGACATGCCCAGATTCACGTTACTCCAGTTGGTATTTGAAATAATCCAGTCAGCTTTTTTGTTAACATCTTGAAAGACTTGATTAAAGTTCCCATCCAATATCACAGTGATGCTTTATTTGAAAGTTATAATGGCTTCATAACCTCTGAATAATCACATGAATAATGCTTTATAGGGACACGTGCCAATAACCTGTGCATAAGAGGCCATGGCAATGTCTGAGCATCGCATTGTACCGAGCGCTAGAAATTAAACGAACACAAGTTCTTTGTGTAGCAGACATGAAAAGATCATGAAGCCGTTATGATTGCGTCGCCAGTACCGTTTCCCAGGCCGTATCGGGTTGAGGCTGTCTCCTCTGTGTCTGTGCCGGGGGGAAGCGGACCCGCTCCCTGGGCCCGGCGCCGGCGTGACTGCTGTGTGTCCCTGCGCAGGGGCGGGCGGACCGGAAGAGGACGAGGTGTACGAGAGCGCGGTGGTGGAGTCCAACTGCGCGTACCGGCTGGTGGAGGACCGGCTGGTCCCCCACGACAGCTGGGCAGCCATCCCCAGCGTGTCCATGCTGGGCTCCAAAGAGGTCAGACAATACGTAGGAAAGTCGCTGCAGGAGGTCAGACGCCCATGAGGGGCTGGTTCTGGTCCCAGGGACCTCGTGTGAGTCAGTGTCCACAGATTGGGGCAGGTAAAACCCAGGTCCTCAACCGCTTTATCACTCGTCTCAGTCACTGTATTTTCTCACTTAAAAAATGCCTTTTTTAAGTAAATGGTAAGTTGCTGGTTCAATCCTGGACTGTGGACTCAGTACATTTATTTAGATGTGAAATCTAAATAAACATTTATGGAGGCCCATCATGCAAAAGCCTCTTTTCGCCTGTCTCGGTGTGAGGAAAGGGATGTCTCTTGGCCCGGTGTCGTTGTAAACTGAGGCTGCAGCAGGGCGGCGTGCCTGACCGGGACAGTCCGTGCACGGCGCTGCGGGGTCGAGAGAGGAGGGAGGAGGGGGCTGTAGTGGGCAGGCTGGCCGGCGTTCCCAGCAGGACCAGTGCGCTGTGTGTTGCAGGTGCTGGTGTTGGACTTCGGCAGCGAGCTGTACGTGTGGCACGGGAAGGAGGTGCCGCTGGGAGACCGGAAGGTCGCTGTGCAGCTGGGCAAGCAGCTGTGGAGCGGCCCCTACGACTACAGCAGCTGCAGGGTGAACCCGCTGGACGCCACGGGGGCCGGCGCGCGCACACCGCAGTGAGTGGCAGTGGCCCAGCGGGGGGAGCACACACTCGCCTGCCCGTCGCTTCTGTGCTGCTCATCCTCACACAGGAGCAGATCAATCCCACGGGAATGCTGTAGATTCCTCATTCTTTGTTTCCCTGTGTTGTACTCTGCCCTTGTCCTGTCTTCTCAGTGTTAATAACTGTACTGAAACCTGCAGTATAGTAGTCTTTTATATGAAGGACATTGTAGGGGTGTGCTCTCTGACTGGTGTAGAGACAATATGACATTAGACCTTTAGAACATTGTCTTGAGCATAGAAGATAACCAGGGGACATATATACCTATGTAAGTACTCAGTATTCTCAAAATCACTGGGAAAGTCAACGCCATGGACAGACAGTGAAACACAAACTGGAGGACAATTAGTGGGAAGCAAGTAGAAGGGCATTTAAAACCGAGAACAGGGGGAACTTCTTTACCCAGAGGGCTGTGGGAGCAGACTAGCTATCAAATGGGCTAGGTGAGTCAGATGGCCTTGTCCTCTCATCTGTAACCATCTGACGTTCTCTTTTTTATCATCTGCCCACTCAGGTTGGAATTTCCAAATGTGTGTTTACGGCTCTCTTTAGTTTCTTTTTATCATGGTGAAATGAATTGCATGTTTTGTGTCAGAGCTCCATCTAGTGGCTGGTGGTGGGGGATTGCAGCTGGGCTGTGCTGGACAGTGTGGGAGTCAGCGTGCCGCCTGTCTGGTGCGAGTGCTGAGATGTGTATGACCCGTGAGGCTGTGTTGCGGTGGTGAAGGCTGGCATCACTCTGTTTCTGTGCATTCAGGAAGGGCGAAGGGCGCCCAGACTGGGCTCTTTTCGGCCGGCTGTCAGAGCACAATGAGACAGCGCTGTTCAAAGAGAAGTTCCTGGACTGGGGAGAGTCTCGCAGCACCAGGGAGGAGCCCACAGTGCCTGAGCTCAAGGTGAGAGCTGCTGGATGGACACCGGCCCCAGACAGCTGCCTCTGAGAGGACATGACTTTCACTGGGAAGCAGTGCTGCTTCCTCCTGGCCCTCAACACCTATTTGGCTCAAAATGAATGAACTGGGCTCCTACATGGGTGGGACAGTTGCACAGGGCTTAGCATTGCTGCCTCACCGTGCCTGGGCCCTGGGTTCAATTCTGGACCTGGAACACCAAGCAATAATGTGGGTGTGGAGTCTGTACGTTCTCCCTGTGTCTGCACACCAGTTTCCTCCCAGAGACATACTGGTAGGTAAACTGGCTGCTTGGAATGTTGAGCCTGGAGTGAGTGTATGTGTGCACCCATACCCTGAATTTGAGGAAGCAAAAATGGCTGGACAGTTGGTTGAACTCCTACATAATAAACAAATTAGGACTTTTTAAGAAAAGGCCCCTGGTCAAGAGTGAGCCGAAACTGACTTGTGAACCTCTAGCTGTGAGCTACTCGTGAACCTTTTAGTAATAAAAGGTCTTCAGCAGCCTCAGAGCAGAGAGCAGTTCCAGCCGTGTGACCGAGCTGCTGCTGTGCTCTAGACCCCCTGTGCCACGCTTGTCCCGCAGAGCCCCACGCAGTCCCCGGTGGAGCTGGAGCTGAAGCCCTGCGACGCCAAGGCCCTGCTGGCCTGTAGCAGCCCGGCCGCCCGCACCGTCCTGGAGGGCGTGGACGTGCAGCGGGGCTACGGGCTGATCGAGGTGGAGGACCGGCGGCCGGCCCAGCTGGCCACGCTGGCGGTGGAGGCCTGGTCCGTCCGCGAGTTCGGCGAGTGCGAGCTGCCCCGGGAGAGCGTGGGGCAGCTCCACGAGGAGGACACTTACGTCATCAAGTGGACGTACTGCATCACGAACGTGGGTGAGTGAGGCTTCCCGGGGGAGCTGTGGGCAGTGCTGGCCGAGGTGACCCGCTGTCCTGACGCCTGTGCCCCTGTCCCGGCAGTGGGCAAGAGGCAGAAGCCGGACCAGGTGGGCAGTGGCGGCGGCGGCGGCGGCGGGCCGGGCAGGGAGAGGTGCGCCTGCTTCTTCTGGCAGGGCAGCTGCTCCAGCGCCAGCGGGAAGGGCGCGTCGGCGCTGATGACCGTGGAGCGAGGCAGCCAGCGGGGGGCGCAGGTGAGGGTCGTCGTCTCGCTCCTTCCTCTGCCCTCCCCCCCCCACGCGCCCTCCCCTGACCCACATCCTCCTCATCTTGAGCTCAAACTCCCGGCACAATTTACCACTCCCTTGGTGCCACTCAAGCTGTTGTTCTACAGCCTGCCGAGCTGGCGGGATAGACCCGCTAGACTCTCAAGCCTGCGAGCTCCCTGCAGCTGCAGCGTCCCGTTCGGTCGCTGTGGTGCAGCTCTGCAGGCCGTGTGCAACGTGTCCGGTGTTTGACTGCCCCCAGGTCCAGGTGACCCAGGGGAAGGAGCCTCCCTGCTTCCTGCAGCTCTTCCAGGGAGGCATGGTCGTGCACAAGGGCTCCCGGGACGATGTCTCCAAAAACACAGGTCTGGTCCTGCTTCCGTCTCTTCACAGACACTGAACCGGCTGGCTTTGCCTTCATGCCCTGTTTCATTCCCATCGTGTTGTTCCATCGACATGGTGGCGCAGTGGTGAGCATGGCTGCCTTGCAGCACAGGGGCCCCGGGTTTGATTACTGAGCTGTTGTCTGTGTGGAGTTTGCATGTTTTCCCCGCATTCAAGTGGATTTCCTACAGGTGCTCCAGTTACCTCCCACAAGTCCAAAGACATACTGGTAGCTTAATTGGCTTCAGGAAAAATTGGCCTGATGTGTCTGTGTCCTGTGATGGACTGGTGTCCTGTCCAGGGTGTTCTCTGCCTTGCTTGCTGGGATGGGCTCCGGCTCCCCTGAATTGAATTGGGTGAAAGAGTTAGAGGATGGATGGATGGATATTGTCCCAGCTGAGGCTGAGTGCTGCACTACTCCATTAGAACAATATCCCAGGACAATTTAATGAAAGTGTATATTATTTTAAATGTATAGTAGCTAATTGCAATTGCAAAGAATAACAAAAACATCTGGCTGTAGCACATCAGAAACTGGCCCCAGTGCTGAGAGTTTAATTCTTGATAATTACTTTTGTGGTAGATGCTTCATCAAAAATGCTTTACAGAGCTCAGGGAGGTGAGCTATGTTTTTTAAAATGGCAGAGACGGTGGATGAATGTGCCACTTGAGGGTGCTCGAGGGGGCAGTAGATTGTGCTCAGAGTGACATGCGGAGAGGGGGCTAGAGCCACAGCCCTCTGGTCCAGCCCCCTGCTCAGCCCGGGGGCTCGTGTGCAGTGAAGACTGTCGCCTGGTCCCCTGCAGGTGGGTGGCGGCTCTTCTGCGTGCGCGGAGAGGTGCCAGTAGAGGGCAGCCTTCTGGAAGTGGAGTGCTGCTGCAGCAGCCTGCGTTCCCGAGTCTCCGCGGTCCTGCTGCACGCCCAGCAGGGGGCGCTGTACCTGTGGCACGGCTGCAAGGCCCACGCCACTGTCCGGGAGGTGGGCAAGAAGGCTGTGGAGCGCATCACGCAGCTGTGAGTATCGGCCTTTCTTCAGCACAGCAACTCTCTGAAAGCTCTCAGCAGAGCCATAAAGAACAAACACATCTTAACAAGGCTTCTTAGCTGAGATGATGCGTATCAGAGCTCTTTGCTTATTTTCTTACTTTGCTTCTTTGCTTACTGGGTTGCCATAAACGTCAGTGCAATGTGATCTAGTCAAGCCCTCTTTTACATACAGTCAGCCATTCTGTTTGCTATAATGCCCTTCACAATATTTCGGGCTTTGATCATTCAATGACGTCTCTTCCTCTCATCGTGGGGCAGAATTCACCAGGTGCTGGATTGTTCACCCGCTAATGGGGAACGTGAGCTGGGTTAGACTGATGTGAGACAGGTTGGTGTTACCCCAGTGATGGTGTGTTGTTGCAACAGTCACCCTGCTCATTGCGAGAGGAGCCACAGGTTCAGACACCACATGTGGACCCTACACATGTGCCTGTATACGTCTCTCAATTAGGATCCCCCCTAAAAGCCTAGGGGATAGGGAAATGTTCTGGCCAGGGAAGGTGATAGCAGTGGGTGGGTGAAGACCAGCACGGTCCCGTGACATTTCCTTCGTTTGCTTTGGCCTGTCAGGTGCCCAGCTGAGATGGGTCTCCACAGCAACAGCGCCCTGCAGGTGCAGGAGCTGGAGGAGGGCTCCGAGCCTGTGGAGTTCTGGAATGCGCTGGGCCAGCAGGACAGGAAGGCCTACGACTGCATGTTGCAAGGTACCGCGTGGCCACACTTCGCCTGGCTCAGCCTGGGAGGGGAGCAGGGCTGTGTAAGCAGGAGGGATCCAACACTCTCCTGGGCAGCGTGCAGGAGCTCAGTTGTGGGAAATTCTTTATCAGAAAAGCTGCAGATGGTCTTGTGCAGATCGAGCTTTTATTGAGCTGAACACACACAGCAGCCCAGCGCTGGGTCTGCCCTGCAGGACAGACTCTCCGCTGCGATAACCTGTTCAGACAGACCCGGCTTGTGTGGTCCCTGACAGTCTGGCTCAGATCACGCTCAGCTGGATTCAGTCCCGTCCTCTGAAGCTGAGCACTCGGTCTGGCAGCTTTGTGAGGAGCAGATCGGTAACTGCTGTTTTCCCAAACTCAGTTCTTATTGTACTGTAACAAACCTTGAGGCTGACTGGTGAGCGATACAGAGCTGTACAATCAAGTTAACATGCTCCAGTCATTATTCCACACATGTCAAATGAATGAATATGTGCCGAGTCCCAGTCCATCTCAGCTGATGCTCTGCTGAACACCTGTTATGTGAATATGTTTGTAGTGAAATCTAGCATAGAAGATTTTAATTTTATATTTATGTTTTAGAACTATATCATTTTATACTTGAGCATAAAGAACATGTAATTAACTGGCAAAACCTGTGATTTTACTAGCGAGCAGCAGTATTATTTGGGACAGTGGGATCTCGGATATCTGACGGGTCTCTCAGGAGCGATGTTAAGAGCAGGACCCAGCAGGAGGCCCTCATGTCTGTGTCCTGAAAGCTCTTCTGTCTTGCAGACCCTGGCAAATACAACTTCACGCCCCGTCTGTTCAGGCTGAGCGCGAGCAGCGGCATGTTCGTGGCCGAGGAGCAGCTGGGCCCGGCCCGGACCTCGGGCACCGTGACGGCGATGCCCTTCCTGCAGGAGAACCTCTACTCCGTGCCACAGCCCGGTGAGCGCCCGCCGGCCCCTCTCTCGGCGGTGGCGCTGGGTGGGCGTTGGGGGAATTAGTGTAGAGTGTGTGGCGGGTCTGCAGTGTGTGCACGGTGGTGCGATTGTGTACTGCACAGGGGGCACTGTGCCACAGGTTGCATTGCTGCATGTTCGCCCTTATTCACACGGGCTGCCCCCAGGTGCTGCGGTGTCCTCCCGCAGTCCAAAGACACGCTGGCAGCTTGATTGGCTTCTGGGAACACTGGCCCTGGTGTGAGTGTGTGTGCCCTGCAGTGGACTGGCCTCCTGTCCAGGGGTACCCTGCCCTGTGCCTGTGGCCTGCCAGGATAGGCTCTGGCTGCCCCGCGACCCTGAACTGGAAGAAGTGGTTAAACATCTATGGATGTATACTGTACATGGACATCACCCTGTTGTTATACCTTTGTAGTGGAGATACTGATGTGACTTTAACAATATTTTGACTGTGTCATCATAAACAGAAAGCCATCCTTGGCAGTTTTTGCCCACTGACAGAGACGCATCATAAGAGAATAGAACATTTTTACCACTTTCATTGCATCATTGCAAACCAGATATATTAGGGTCCACAGAGCAGATATGCAAAAGAACATATGCTAAACAAATACCCTGGAATTTAACCTTGGATATTTCTTAACGTATACCTTGCACATTTGCATCCCACTTCTAAACACTCTACTGCAGAATGCGGATTTGGGCTTTTGATCTCTGACTGATCAGATTCCCTGATCGTTCAAGATTCCCTGACATTTCTCACAAGAGCAGGAGCCCAAGACTGTGCGGTGATGAAATAACAAATGCTGTTGTTCTTTAGCACCCCATTCCTTAACTGGGATAAGATCATGTTTTTATTAGAAGTGTTGTACCTCTGTCTCCTGTCCCATCCCAGCCCTGTTCCTGCTGGATAACCGCATGGAGGTGTACCTGTGGCAGGGCCAGCAGCCCCCAGATGTGGAGTGCACCGGCTCCGCTCAGATCCGCTGGGACAGCGAGAGGAAGTGCGCTATGGAGACAGTCCTGCAGTACTGCAAAGGTACAGTGTCCCAGCGTAGAAGCTGAGTCAGCGTTTTAGCTGTGCCGTGTATTTCGGGGAAAAATGAGTCAGAGTTTGAGTGCCTTTTTGTAAACGTTTTAACAAACTTTAATGAAGCTGCTCAGAACTAGCATTTTCCAGGAGAACAACTTTTGACGTCTGCCCCTCTCCTCAGAAAAGAACGCCAGACGCCCTCCTCGGGCCTACCTGATCCACGCCGGTGCCGAGCCCCTCACCTTCACCAACATCTTCCCCAAGTGGGAGGCCCTGCCTGCGATCAAGGCACAGGTATCCTTCCGTCCTGGCCTCCTGATGTGCTCGGTTTCAAACGAGCTTTCCTTACTTTCCACTCGAGTCTGCTGGCTTGTGTCTGGCTCATGGCGGAGAAGTGCACAGGGAGAAGTCCTCAGTGCCCTTGTGATTTGTTTATCGGGTCCTCTCCTGATCTTCTCTGTTGAGACTAAGAGGGTCTGTCTCAGTGTAGGGAGTATTTCTGAGCGACTGATTCCAGAGCAGATCTCAGTGACCAGAACTACACGCAGTATTCTGAGGTCTAGCCAGCACATTGTATATTTTTAACATAACATCCTTTTGAATACTGCCTCAGAGTGTGTAGAAATGGAAAATTACGTCTTACAGGCAGCAGCTTGAAGCTTTGTTTAGGCAGTTGGGGTCTGTTCAGTCTGTCTCTCCTCAGACTGAGTAATACACTTTTGTTTAAACATCTCCCAACAGGTGACAGATCAATGTTTCTGGATCTCGCGTAGTGATGACACTTATATTTGTTATTCAGACAACCACCAGCAGAGAACTGTACTGTACTTTCAAAGTAGTCGAATCACTGGTAGAGAGTCTATCCTGGTGTGTTGTTGGTGTCTGACGTAATTTTTTGTGATTTCTTTGCTTTTTACAAAAATATGGAGATGGGGAAATAAATTACAATGACCTCAAGCTTGCAAGTATATCAAGTATCATTGAACTTTTAAGGTATATATCAAAAAGTAGATATACTTTGTAGGTACTAATATTCGATCTATTAGTTTCCCTGAGTGTTCAAGACAGAACACAAGAAGACGAGATGCAGTGCAGCATCTGTTCCACTGCTGGTCACCGGTAGATCAGGCCGCATGTCTGAAAGCCCGGTCGGGGCCCCAGGGTGCTGCTCGCAGGGTGCTGGGACAGCCCTGAATGGCGCTGGCTCTTTCACCCTGTCTGGTGCTCGCAGGCCGAGGCCTCGTGGGACAAGGTGATCCTGGTGCAGGACGCGCTGGCCCGGCTCTGCAAGACGCAGTACTCCCTGGAGGAGCTGCAGGGCAAGCCACTGCCCGAGGGTGTGGACCCTCTCCGCCTGGAGCTCTACCTGTCCGACGAGGACTTCCAGGTACCACACACGGCTCTGCTCCGGCCGCCTGACCCGTCCAACCACAGCACCGCCTGGCATCATGACCCATTACACCAGAACACTGACTTCCACTCTGACTTCACTCCCGTCTCTCTGGAAGCAGCTCTTGAATTGTCCTACAGGGATGAGCTTCACCCTTCAGGACACGTTTCGCTCTTGAACGATTGCTTGAGTGTTTCACTAATGGAGCCGGCTTTCAGTAACATGATCAGTAAACACCTCTTTAAAAGTGTTTATTTTTGTGTTTCTCTGTTTCAGAGGGTTTTGGAGATGAAGAGGGATGAGTTCAACACCCTTCCTAGCTGGAAACAAAAAAACCTGAAAAAGAGCAAAGGACTGTTCTAAACTGGGGGAAAGTGGGCGACTGGATTCTGTACATGAAATAACTGTCTCATGAAATGTGCTGCACTTTTTGTATCTTTATAACTCTTCTGTAAAGTGCCGAAATGTAAGTCGGTAGTGTACGACCTGCCATGTCTGTTTGTACCTGGAGAGTGTCTTGAGGAGGTCAGCAGTCTGTCCAGCGAGGGTGGAAGAAACGACACTGCTCGGAACGGAGGGCGAACCGTCTCAAAATATATTCGATCAAAACGAGGTGCAGCGTTTTTAACAGACTCCCCAACATATAAATATGTATAAATATATTTTTTTTTTGTAATTTTCATGCTACGTGACACTGCCGCGAGGAGAAAAACACCGGAAATAAATGCCCATGTAGCAGTTGAAAAGAAAATGGTGCTTTTAGCATTACAGTGTGAATATGTTTTTAATGATGTTTTATTAGGGACACCACTGTCAGAAACCACACACACATCTCATGTCTCCTCTGTGATCGTTCTTCATTTGGTCATGTGCATTGTGTCCACTCTGGGGGGGAACCACATTTTTAAGACCACAATTCGTGTTGCCCAGATCCATGTTACTGCAACATGAACATTTGTGTAACACGGATCATTCCTGCCAGGTGAAAAAGTTTGGGTTGTCTGCTTTTACTTTAGAGTTCTTTGGAAACACCGTCTTCTAGGGTCTTCTCTGGAAACCTAAAGACTTGAGACTGAATATTAAAAGGTTGCAATTGATCCTCACACCAGCTGCAGTGTTCAAAGAGCAGAAGTGGCCTGAGTATAGAACCACCCAGAACTTTTGCTGAAGCTGCCTGGAGGAATGTTGTCCAGGAACCGGTACCACTGAGTCTGCAGAGGAACAACCAGCAAGCTCCAGAGGATGTTGAGCTGAGCAGGCAGGGCTCAGAGCTTGACCAGGCTGCATTCCCGATGTTATGAACATGTGCCTGTGAAGCACAGCCTGGAGCCCTGGAGACTTGCCTGTAATTGCCAGTAGAGCATTGTGGTGATAAGGATCAGTGCGAATTGGGGTTAATCCTACATATTTAGATTTTCTTTTCCATTACATTGTTAATTTTTTTTTAAATACCATATTCATGCCAGAAATTAATGTTGTTCATGGTATTCTGTGCATACGATCAGCAGTGTGGTCTGTGGTCTATGTTCTGAATGAATTTCTCTCTGTACGGAAACTGCAGGCTGGAAGAGGAGGATCTTTTTTAGAAAATGTTTTATTTGCCTGTATAAATCTATACAGAGGGAAACAAAGCGTGTGTCAGTGTTTCATAGTTTCAGTAACACAGGTAAGAGCTGACAGCATAAAAACAGCACAGAAAGAATGCTTACAAAGTTTCTCGAGTATGATTAGCAAGTGGGGGAAAAGTGTGGTATTTTAACAATAAATATGATTACACTATTTTTTACACATGAAGCCTCCCGTTTCCATCAATGTCTCATTCTATTATTGCCATCTCATCTTACTTTAAAAAAGCACATACTTTACTCAGTATGTCCACAATATTTCTCTTCAAGAACTGGATCGCAGGCATGCCTTTACTACAAAAAATACTAACTACAAAAGTGATTTCTTAACAGCAATGTGCATTGTACAAAATCTTATTTTAAATGCACACATTTTACTTGTAAAATGTGCATGATTTTTTTTTTGCAGAACCAGTGAGATTACATAATGTATTAGTTTTCTTTAGAAGTTTATGCTATTAGTTGTGATCAAGTGTTTTGGTTTTTATTGGTTCAGCAGTCCTATACAAGCATGTATATATATATACTGTACTATAGATGCACTTCAATACAGAATTTAATGTATAATAATTATTGTGGAACAAGTGTCAGGGAAAATGTTTTAATTCGATAGCCAGCTGACAAACCCAGCACCTCTCACTGACCTGGATTTCAGACCTTCCTACTGGACTGAACAGTTTATTCAACTGTCTTGAATGGATTAAAGTCTAATCCGTCTTGTGACAGCAAATGTTAACACTGTGCTTTCTGTTCCTATTGATTGTAGGCAGCCTGTGCTCGACTGATGTGAAGTCAGATATCTAGGGTGAGTGAATGAATGAGCCTTGTTTGCCAAAAACAACTTCTTGCAGTGCCTCCCTAACCCATCCGCCAGAGTTCTGCATTTACGGTTCGAGTCCAATGCAAGCTCACATGCTATGCCACACCATGGCCGGCAGGGGTCTCCACCATGCACTGATCAGGGTGTAGACCCTTAAGGGATTCTTTATTAAGAAAAGAGCTTATACTTTAATACTTTTTGTATCATATGAGACAAAATATATTCTTTACCAATTAACAGAATAAAATACAGCAGAAAAACTAAAGAAATTCAGCCTACAACGTCTGACTGCTCTTATTAAATGGCTTTAGGAAAGGAACGGTGATATTTTAAGGACCTTAATTTTCACTACATCACTGACCTGCACTCCTTTTCCTTTCAGGAACCCTGTTGTGCTGGCCGGAGTGAGTACCGTGTGAATGATCCGTCATGTGAGTAACAGTCTACCTGAGCTACCTCCGTGTTACCAGCGTGAGGCCCGCCGATGTGTCGGAAACTGCCCATTCCCTAAAATCCTTGCCGAGTGAAGGAGCGGGATATCTCGAGCTGGGGGGACAGGGGCCAGAGCGCTCCCGGCTCCGGCTGCTGTCCGAGGGCCGCTCCGGGTCTATATGGCGGACTGCTCCTGCCGGAAGGCCTCGGCGCCGGGCAGGCTCCTGTCGGGCTCGGACGCCAGGGCGGCCTCCCGCAGCACGGCCATGTGGCCCTCGGCGGTGTCGAGCGATTGCTCGATCCAGTCCAGGCTGCCGGACATGTGGCAGGCGTTCCTGGTCACCAGGACCAGGTGGCTGACGGACAGCAGCAGGGCGGCGGCTCTGCGGGGATGGACGCCACGAGTCAGAGGGTTTCACAGAGGCAGGAAACTGTACCAGCTGGCTGCGCTCTGGAAAGGGGGGGCATGTTCTGCACAGGGCTCTGAAGTTATTGCCCTTCAGCCCTGCCGTCATCCCAAGGGGCTGGAAATCTCTTCATTTAAGTGGGGTTCCTAATATTTTGACCAGTTTTTGGAAGAACTCACATTCCATGCCTTTAAACACTGCAAATCAGAATGCCTCAAGATTCGTGGTATATCGGTGTTGCACAAGCTCAGATCAGACGATCTGTATTTTGGATTGTGTGTACTGCATGTAAACAAGATTTGCCTCACAACTGAGATAACCATGCTTTCACTTTCATAGCTTTGTTAAAATAATGATTTATTGCTATCACTTACCTGGCGTCAAGAAGTTTGGGATCCAGGGGAGGGTACATTGACCGTACAACATCGTCCACCCTGCAGAATGAGAGGAGACAGACACAGTGAGCATCACACAGGGCGCTGTGCTGCGCTGCGGCACGACAGCTGCTGACAGACACGCTCACGTACCGCGGGCTGATCCTCTTGGCCACGGTGATGATGTCACTGAGGCTAGCCGGGGCCTTGACCTTTGCCCCTGAACCCATGGTCATAGCAACGAGCTTCTCGGTCAGAGTGTGGCAGATCTGCAAGGGAGAGTCCGAGAACTAACACAATGAAACGGCCAACAGATAATCAATGTCTGACAAATATCCTTTAATTAATTTTTCTAGTACTTATCTTGTTTGTAGGCTAATTCTTTTTTTTTCATTTAATCTTGGTAGTAATTGATTATAAATAATTACAAGAAAGAATCTAATGAAGGGTCATTTATGAACTTTTGTGATCTAAAAATAACTAATTTAACAGGTATAAATATAGCACAACAAGCTGACAAAACATACTTTTGCTTCAAAGAAACTGTTTTATATTTTAACAAACGCTTACCTTTAAGATAGCAATACAGTGAGAGACCAGGCCTCTGAAATAAAGAATATTATTTTGCAGTAAGTCAGCCTCATCCACATCAAATGCAAATCTTTTTTCCTCACATAGTACATCCTTCTCAAAAATGTTTATTTTGAGGGCTAGATCAAGGCTCAATATTGTGCTAAGAACAGGTACCTAAAACATTTAAAGCACAAAAACATACCACCCATCTCATTTACCAGAGGAGAAAACAACACCCCTGAACCTGTGCTTAGCACCAACAAAACAGTGCTGTGGACACAAATCATGTGCTGAAATAAAGGCAACATCAACACAAACCACCGTTACACATATCGCCAGGTGGGAAAAAGAGGACCGAGTCTGTCCACGTCCGACTGGGAACCTCCTGTTGGTGAAATACAGGACGGACTTGTTCATTGATGCACTGGTTTAGTCACAACGCCCACAATGTAAGCGGTGGACACTCTGTTTGTTCGTCCCTCAGCCCAGTGCTGTAGTCCCTCAGCATAATTAGTAATTCAATTACTGGGTGGGATCCTGGCTTCCCCGCGGCTCTGAAAGGCCCTGTTGTGTGGAAGCAGGTAGGGGTCTTAGTGAGTGCGGCCTACGGAAACAGGGCAGCTTAGCGTGATCTTTCGGGAGGAGCTGAAACAAAATCCACAAATCTGACGTACGACGCGTCTTCGATCCAGTCCTCGTTCTCCAGGATGGCCTCGATGTGGGGATTGGTGATGATGACATCGTCCAGCTCCAGCTCGGAGGGCTCGCTCTGCGTCTCCATGGCCCCGATGAGGTCCACTGTAGGTCTGAGGAAAGATGGGAAAAACACAGGGTGATGTCACACTGCATGTAACCTGATCTAAAGCATGAACTAACGGTCTTGAGCAGATCTCTGAAGGGGTTGTCTGAATATTAAATTCAAAAAGGGAAAGTAAGGGGAAATGCATTGAAAGTGGAGAATGGGAGGCACATAGTTACACAAAGGGTTGTGGGAGTATGGAACAAGCTGCTTGGCCACTTTTTGTCAAAGATGAGATCCTCGGATCACTAAGCTAACAATCTCCGAAGTCAAGCTAGATGACAAGAACGACGTACATCCATTACGTACTTGATTCTCACTCCTTTTTTTTTAGATTGCACTCATGCGCGAGACTGATGAGATCTCCCCAGAGGATTCCCAGGTGGAGTTCCTGTCACCCAGAGCTAAGTACCACAGTCCTCTTATAACACTGTATCAGTGTTTCACTCCCCAGTCTTCAGAAGTGCATTTGGAGAAACCAGTTTTGTAGGACTGGTCACAACAATACAGGTTTTTTTTATTCTGTTTGCTCTGGCCATGTAAAACACGTTTATACTTTGTAATGAATATGATAAGGAGTTGTCTGTGGATAGCATATCAATCAGCTTGGTCAGCATAGTGACCAACACTCCTGGTCTAAATGCAAGAACTTCTATTAACAATCACCAGGTCTCAAACTACCACAAAACAAGGTTTTCTGAGGTTTCTAAGAAATATAGTACCTAGTGCAGATGATCATGGCTGTTGAGTTTCTCATGTAAGCAGCACAGAGGAGACTCTCGTCATGTTAGCCCTGCTACAAAACTCCTGTACTGCTGTTGTGGAGAAGTCTGGCCTATAACCTAGACTACACTTCTGTGACAACTGATAATTGAGCAGTTAACTTAAGCTTTCAATGGGCAAATCAGATTTTCACATTTGCAAATACGCAACTGACACAGCATTGTCTTGGTTAAACATTCAGATATCAAAGCCAATCACGTACAGAACCAGGAACCTGCTGCAAGTAAATCTAAGCTGTTATGATTGGTATCATACAGGGATACAAGGATGTTTTCATTTGATATATTAGTTGCAAAAAACATATGGTCTTTTACAATATCTGTATTAGGCAAATAGGCAAACCTTAGGCAGCAGGAGAAATTTATTGCAGAAAACCCAATACAATACAATAATAAAGCAGTTGTCCTCCCAAGCTGATTCCTCCTCAGCATGTGAACAAGGTCCTGCTCTAACAAACGCACTGCTGGGCTTGTGCCTGGTACGTCTCGTGTTTGGTGTTGTGTGACACACACTGACCCGGAATTCCAACACTGCTCATTTCAATATAGTATAACTGCTGGCATCTTTGATTTCACTGCCTGTTAGAAGACGGTTATGACTCTAATGAAACCAAAACACCAGGTCACCATCTAGTCTGATAAACTCCATTGAGAAAGGTTCCATTTGCCCTCATGCTGGACAGAAACATCAATTAATCTGAACACCTAAACGGAATACTGGCACTGTGCATTTCAAAACAGATTATTAGGGGGTGAAAAAATGCACTGCAGAGAGTTTAGCTGTTGACTGCATTTGAAAGGTCCTGGTTATTTTAAGAAATGACCAACATGATTTTCAATGACTCTCTACACATAAACCCACAACACTGATCGGCAGTTATTGAACAGATGACTGGGGTTACTTTCTTTTCTGTGTAAGGTAAATAAGCCACAATGGGATAGTTTCATGAAAACCTTTGACGCTGCTTTCATTGTACTAACCTACTTCCTGAAATAGAGAATGTCAGCTTCTACCGTTACAAAAAAATGTCAAACACATCACACGTCTTTTAGTAACCATTACTTCAGCATCCGGAGAGTTGAATGTCACTTTCTGACCTTTATACATTCTTTTCTTACAAGGAAAAAACTAGTATTATTCTAGCATGACAATTAAAGTTTTATTAATCTGAATATAGCAAAGATTCATGCTTAAATGGCACCTGAATGTATCTCAGTGTGAGGTGTTGAGATGAAGATTCTGTCCAGTGTCAGTGTCCTGAGACAGTGAGGCCCAGGACTGACAGGAGGCAGGAGTGAGGGTCACGAACTCACTTGGATTCAAACTGGTGCAGGAGGCTGGTGGGGCGGCAGTACCGATGTCTGCAAATAGCCACCAGGGCTACAAAGGAGGCCAGGAAAATGGTGCCCAGGACGCCGATCGCCACAATCACGACGGTGTCCATGGCTGTCTGCTCTCTCATCCAGGGATTCACAGCAACAAGGCAGTTCGACTGGACCAGCTTGCTAAGAGCGGCTTTTCATCTGAAAACAGAAATCATCACACGACTTGGTCGAGCTATAAAGTGCTGATGTGCATCAGGTCCTCGCCACAGCACACTTTCAGATGCAACACTTGGGTTTTTTTATTCTGTGGGAAGAAAGAAAACTTTTAAAGCATGTATTTCTCCCCCGTGTTTCCTTCTGGAGAGATTTTAACACCTGCTTTAGTTTTCATCATTGATAAGCCTCATGCCAGGCTTAATGGATTAAAGCACATGGCTTCGGTAAGTCAAGTCCAAAGTCCAAAAAATTAAAACCAGTTCATTGTGGCAAATGTTGACTCACCCCTCCAAAACACACAGGCCTGATGTTGACCAAGTAATACATACAGCAGGACACTCAAAGAAAACATTTAATTTTAAACAATGATGGTTAGAAAGCCTGTACCAAACAAATTAAGCAATTTTTCACAAACCTCATGTTCTAATTCATATTATTCCAAAATAATCAACCCAGCACTTTAGGCTATATTTTTATGTTATAAATATACATTACTTAAATATAGTTTTTCAATAAAAGCACACTAACCAGTCTAATGAGAAATTGTGCACTTTTACACAGTACATTTGAAAAACATACTTGGTATATGATACTCTTCTGTTCCTCACAGCACTTCCTGTCTCCAAACTGTACACAAGTCATTTCACATTCAGAGTCTCTCGTAGTACTTCTGTCTTTGCACTAATTTAAAAACACAGCCTGCGCAAAATGTGAGACACAATACGTGACGTATATTTCACCACTAACATTTCCTGGGTTTCTCTCTAGGGTGTGAAAACATCCACCCCATTAGCGCAAAACACTGCTTTTACCTCACAGAAAAATAAAATCACAGATTTCTTTTGCCTTTCAGACTCGTCATTCTAAAACAAGGTGCTATAAAATCATAATGGTTTTGATTTTGACCAGAAATGATTATAGTGTTGCTTCTTAAAGAAGACAGGAAATGTGATGTCCTCGTAAACAACAGCGTCTGCGAGACCTCCAGTCCAGCAGCTTGTGATCCACGCTGTACTCTGGACAGAAGACAGTCTGTTTTTGTAGCTCAGACAGGTGCCTTCTGTATGTGAACACACAGAACAAAAGTTGAGGACAAAGACCAAATTTGCATCTAGCTTCCTACCTTTCGCCAGTTCGATTTCCAACCGTCTTCCCAGACATCTGCTGGAAACCTCACAGACTTCCCCCTTGGTGCTGATCTTCACAAACTCTAAGGGAAGCGAAAAGGGCAACACCCACCTGACCTCTGACCAAATGAGTCAAACATTAACCAACAGGTGAGACTCAATAAGGCGTGTTCATGTATCAGATACACAGTGCACCTTTCCTTAGATTTGAATCCTGATTTAATCCTACTGTTGCACAGAAGATAACCACATCCATCCACTTAATCTTGTACCTCACAAAGCATTGAAGTATGACACACCTCTGGGTTTCATGCCCACTGGTCACTGGGATAATAATATCCAGCAGCATCTTAAAAATGAACATCACTCTAAATAAAATATGAGATACAGGGTTCGGATACTTCTGGGGGGCTACAGACATAATAGTCAGGCTTCTGTATCTCGGAGGAAGTAAGACTGACAGGACTGATAAATGTATTTATATTTAGAAAAATGGTCTTCATAAATTAGGAACTATTTTTCATACTGCAAAGATTCTTGAAAAGCTTATTTAACATGAATATCTTGTGATCCGGCTCTGAGGAAGGAAATCCAGCTTTGTTTGGCTGCTAGGACCTAACTGACCCAAGACTCTCATCCAGCTGTTTCATGGTAGAAGCCAGGGTGTCGGCATCACCAATAAAACACATCTGGGCAGCTTGTACCAGGCTGCAACCAGTCTTCTGGCTCCTGCAGTTTCCACATCTTTCCTAATGGTTTTGAGAATTTTCATCGCTTGAACCAGGTCTTCAACAGTTTTTTGTTCAGCACTAAGAATGTTACGTTCCTCTAGTTTGTAAGAGTAAGACATCCTTCTAAGACCATGAATGTTCTAGTTCACTCTACTCTGAATTGATTCAAGAAAAGCAATATATTTTTGTAATGCAGTGGCCCAAAATGAACATAATATTCTAAAAGAGGTCTTAATAGTGCATTATATAATTTATAAAATAATTTAAAAGAACTATCACATTATTTATAACCAATAGCCATCAATTAACGGAAAGCTACTTATTCTTTATAGCCTCATTTAATCAGTAAAACCATATTAACTTTTAAAAAGACTTCCAAAATATTGTTTTGGAGTTTATTGACAATACAACATTGAATTGTTTGTAGTGATGAACAGTGAGATTTTCACACATGGCCAAATTTCCATGACCAAATATAACATCTTGTTAAGTAGCAACTGGATTTCTGTACTACCCAGATTATTTATTATTGGAAAGAATATATTATGGTGCCAGTAAGTTCAGGTACCTGAAGACGGCTAAACTCCAAACAGCCAGGGAAACAGTCACAGAGAGTAGAAACCCAGCACAAACAGAGAGGAATGCTGTAAGTCTTTAATAGGATTAGCACACAGTGCCTGGGCTGTAACACTGTTATCAAGGCTTCATGTAAGAGCCACAGTTCTGTTCATTACAAGGCCCCTGGGCTACAGAACCACCTGTTGAAGACTAACTTAGTTCAGTATCAAATCTAAACAGTAGCCTACAACAGGAATAAAAAAGCCTACTCTCCCCTCCCTCTCAATATTTCGGGTGAAACATCAATGGCAGGACTTGCAGTTAATCCATAAGCAAGGTCACCACCTTATTGCCCTCGATCACACAGAAAACAGCAGGATGAACGTGACGGTTCCTCCGCACAGCCTGGGAACGTTCATCCTGCTGGAACAGTCTGCACACCTGCCTCAGAGTCTTGCATACAGCCCCTGCTGAAACATGGAATCCAGCAGCAATCTGTCCTCTGTTTATGCACATGTATCTCTCATTGATTAAATATTCACTCATGATTGATCATGATAGTCACGAGTCACTATGACTGTTGCATAAACACCTCACGGGAGAGTGAGATGATGTCTTTCATACATGAAGCCTGGTGAAAATCAAGAAATAAAAGCACAGATGCAACAAATCCAGTGGAACCAAGTTCTTGTTAGTGATGCATCAGGGTTTTGTGGAGACCATTGGGTAATTAGTCAGTGTGGTGCAAACAAACAGAACGCTATGGTCATTAGTTAATAAAATGGCAGGGTGGCACACTGCTCAGCACTGCTGACTCACAGCGCGGGGGCCCTGGGTTCAATTCCGGACCAGGGGTGCTGTCTGTGTGGAGTTTGCATGTTTTCCCATGTTCACACTGGTCCCTTTCCACAGTCCAAAGACACGCTGGTAGGTTAATTGGCTTCTGGGCACACTGGCCCTGGTGTGAGTGAGTGTGTGTCTGTGTGTGCCCTGCGGTGGGCTGGTGTCCTGTCCAGGGTGTGCCCTGCCTTGCTTGCAGGACAAACTCCGGCTCACTGCAACCCTGAATTGGACCAATAAAGACGAGAGATGTCTGCAAGGCTTTAAGTAAATATCAGTCCAGGCAATGCTTAAATTGACCATCCAGTGCTTTCAATCTGGCACAGACAGCATTCTGAAACAACGACAGAACAATTCCAGTCCATGAGCACTAAATCCCATTTCACAGGACCCTGGGTCACATGACTGCGCTTGGAGAAATGCCCAATCGCTGCCCAGGCACAGCCAGCCTCGCACCTTTCTCAGGACAGCAGAACCACGCACACACAGCGCGCAGGGCGCTTGGGAGGACTGCAGATTGTAAAATGTCAAAACTTCCCTAAAGACACAAAGGGCTCTGCTTAGCCTGCAGGTCGCAGAGTCATACTGCCTGGCAAACAATATTCCAAAATGGTTTACTTGAAAGATATTTAGTGTCCTTATCAACACTGAAGCAATCAATCAGCAATACCTAAAAACTGTTCAAATACTTCTGACAAACTCCAGGCTAATTATAAGTCACTCTGGACCTGAAACAACAAATTACGTGTCTGAAATGAAAAATAAATAAGTGGTGTATCAGGATCAACTAAGGGGAAAAAGACATATCTGACATATCGAAAGCACGGAATCTTTTAGATCAGGCTGCCCTCACGACGACACCAGAGGACGATCTGGGGCACCTATTTTCTTTTCTGTGCACTATTGCAGAAAGTAAGGCGCCGTTTTTAGCAGAGGAACAGGCGCAGACCCTGTGGAGCCCTCGCCTCGCCCTCCCCCGCTGAAGACTGCAGCAGTGAAAATCGGCGTGAGACACGGGTGGATAATGAAACATCTGCTGGAATTTTCCTGCCGTTAGTAAATAGTTGAATTGTTTAGTTTTCAGGGAGGTTTTAATTTCTGTTCTATTCAAATAACCAACAGCAACAAACAACAGAATCGACAGTAACAAAAACATATTTTATTGCTGTTTAATTTTGTTTAATACGCGTCTTCTGTCCGCTAATCTTCACCTTCCACGATTTAGGTAGTAGCGAAGGAGTTTTATTTTGTAACAGCACGGGAATTTTCAGCGTTAAAGCTGATTAATGCTAACGGTATTGTAGAGATGTGGGTACAGTACAGGTTAGGGAATCGCTCGCCAAAGAAAAATAAAGTTTTTTACACGAGGAAAAACTAATTTTACTAACCTTTTGTTTTTAAGTAAAGTCTTACCTCGCGCCCTCTCCTTGTTTTAATTGCGGTGTTCCCAAAACATCACACCATCTTAATAAGGTTGCAGGAATGCCCAGTACAAGGTCTACAGCTCTTACGGATTGGGATATATTTCACTTACCGACTCATTTTTGTCGTATCTTTTGTCCTGACCACAAAGTGCCGTCCCCAGAGGCGCAAGCACCGATTTCGGGAAAACCCACTGGCGAGAGCTGGGAGCAGCCACGGGGGCGCGCACCGCCTGCGGCGTGAACTCCAGCTGTGGCGGAGCGCAAGGTGAGGCACGGCCACGCGCCTGCTCACGGCCGGGGCCGCGCCGCGGCGCCACCTGGTGCACGAGCTTGAGCGAGGGGACGAGCGCTGAAGAATTCTGTTTTTGCGCGAGCCGGCCGATGACGTGATCGAAAGCTCATACCTACAGTAAATACAGTGCCTGCTGACAGGACAACTGCGACCTGGTTTCTTATTGTGTAGAAATGCTATTTAGGGTATAATATATATGGAGTATGATCCTTATAACACGTCTTGTTTCTATTCATAGTCTGCATTCAGCTTTCACTTCGCCACTATCCACCCTGGACTTCCTGTCGGCTTGAGCTCATACGAGCCCGAAGGAGAGTAATAAAGGTTTGTACGGGCTTAACATCTCTGAGCAAGAAGAACTGGGTTCGAAGATACTTCATCTGCTCGTGCTCTTCTATACGGAGTGAAACTCCTCTTCCCAGTCTCCGAAGAGTGCAGGGGTCCGAGCGCCTGGGGCTCCTGTTGCAAAATTGTCCTTGCCTTTTGTGTCCAACCGATGTCTAAGATACTGCAATGCACGTTAGCCGCGACGGGCTGTGGGGGGAGGTGTGGAATGGTCACGGGTGGAGGTCCAGCTGCTTGTTCCTTCCCCTCCGCTGCCACGTGCCCTTATCGGCCGCAACGTTGAAACGCAGTTCAGCGCCACCCGTTACCTTCAGTGACAAGATATGGGAAAGCATGTCTGAATCATAGGCTTCACATTGTTTTAAGTCCCTTCTTTTTCCATCAGTTCATTTTCTAAGTGTTTCTTCCAACTCAGGTCAGCAAGCAACAGGCGCAAGGCAGGCTACACCACGGCGCGGACGCCAGTTTATCACAGGACACACACTCACACCAGAAGCCAATTAACCTACCAGTTTGTCTTTGATCTGTTGGAGGAAACCTTAGATGCTGGGCTACTTTTTCGAATTAGAAATGTACCGTTTTTTAAAATACGCTGTATATCCTGACTGGTGTGCCCACATTGCATCTGTTGCTTTCTGCAGTTCGAAAACTGATGGATGGGCGAAATATATATCCCATATGCAGTTTACTCGCTTGCGGTACCCTCCCTGCATAGAAACCTTTCCCGGTCAAATGTCATTTACTTTCGCTTATGGTCACATTATGACATGTCGTTACAGGACAAACCAACTGACCCATATTTAGTTAAGTCAGATGATTTGATTCTTACAGTACGGGACACGACATAATAGTCTTTCAGCATTGTGTGAACGTAATTGACCTATACACTGTTTCTCCCATTTATGAACACACGATATTTTTTACTGATGCCATAAGAATTATGTTGTACTTTAAAACCTTCACAAAAATGCAAAACTGCAAATGATAAAGCAAAATGGAAAATAAAAATTAGATTGCTATTGCGTTGTCTCACCACATGTGAGAACTAAACAGCAAAATCAAGTTCAAGTTTAAGTTCAAGTTTCAAGTTTATTGTCATTACACTCATATACATGGTATATGGTATAACGAAATGCTATTTAGCTAGCTCTCGGACATAAGTAGTACAAAGAGAAAAAAAACAACAACAATACAATTGTGTAGCAAAAGAAAGACAGAGACAACAGGCAGTGTGCAAAAACAACAATTATGTAATGTTTAGAGCATTTAGTTTAGATGTTAATTAGAGGCCATTTTAAAAACTTGTCGCAAACTGTCTCGGGATCATACAGCTCTGCGCTTAACTGTTTTAACCCCTTCTGTCTCCCCAGGCGTATTTAATTCGGGAGATTTTTTTTAAATTTGCACTTAGGGGCCGCCGGGTAACCAGAAGGCGGACTACAAAAGACACGGCCACTTTTCCCACAATGCTCCTCGCATCGACTTCCGGGTCGCGTTTCGTGTCGGTGTGACGTTTCTTTTCTTGGACAAAACACATCAGAAACGGGGCGCATCAGTTGAAAGTTCTCCGGTTTCGGCGTCGGGGCTGGGCAGGTTCGGCGTGCTGGTGCTCTCGGTAATCCGCAGAAGGCGGTTTTGGCCTCGATCCCGGCAGCAGGTACCGAGAGTCCCCAGCGGAAGGCTGTGCGCACAGGCGAGAGCTGTTTGTTGTGGAGGCTTGCAGCCGTGGGGTACGTGTTTGTGTCTGAGCAGCGAGCGGGGGCTGTCGCTGGGCTCCCAGGCTTGGACTGGGACTGCCTTGTGTTGCTGAGAAGTGCCATCTTTATTTCTGTTTATTTTTATTCGTGCCGTCCTCAGTCTCGTGTCCGTGTGAATTCGTACACGCTTTTTTTGAACCCCGAAATTATCATTTCTGGGCGTCCGCCTTTATTTACGTAAATAACAACAACGGCGGCGAACAGGCACGAAAATAAGCGGTGCCCAGCGGGTGAGCTGTCCGAGTTGAGGGTGGCAGGGTGAGTCAGTGCTGGAGAGGGGAAGCGTTGTGCTCTCAAGGTCTCCTTCACCACAGTCCGACCCTCCATCGCGAAGATTAGTCGTGTCACGGAGTGGCGGGCGGCAGAAAGCAGCCTGCCGATGATGAACTTGCGTCAATAAAAAGGATGCGTTAAGCGTATGTTAAAATGTCGCCTCTTCTTCGCGAGTGTGTGTGATTTTGTTTGTGGCGTTAGAGTATTTCATGCCCTCATCCCATTTTCCAAGAAAGACGGTCGCTTCCCGTCAGTCTGAGGGAGGCTCGTGTTGAGGGGCAGAGGGCAAGCGCCCTGGGGTGGCAGCTCCTCGCGGAAGCGTGTGGGGTCCCCTCATCGGCCTGGCGCCCTGTGCGCACTGCAAGCTCTGCCAACAGGCGAGCGGCGGCGCTGAACCCCGACCTAGAGTCTCCGTGGGGTCCGGCCTGGGGCAGAGACAGCTGTGAAGGGGTGATGGTGCCTCCAAACACAGAGCCGCTGTAGGAGCGATTCCCAGAGAGCACTGCGTCGCACTCCAGACGTGTCCCAGGCTGGGGGGTCTGGTCCCGCTCCTGACCTCACGCTCCTGACCTCATGCCCTGCCTCTGCTTGTGTGCAGGACCGGCCAGCAGTGACCTGGGCGACGAGAGCCGGAGGGGATGAGATGGACGTCACTCTGTCTGTGTCCTTCCTGAAGGAGCACCTGAGCTCCACCATCGAGGAGGCGGTGAGCACGGCGGTGGAGACGGTGCTGCTGGAGACGGCCCGGCTGCTGGGCGGGAAGTGGGCGGACCTGCAGTGCGCCGTGGCCGAGAAGGAGCGGGAGAACCAGAGCCTGAGGCGCCGGCTGCCGGACGAGCCGGAGGACGGGGTGGTCCGGCCCGTCAGGCCCAGCCTCCTGGGGGGCAGCCGCAGGAAGAGGCGCTTCCACAGCCGCCGCCTCGTCTCGGCGCCGCCCAAGGAGGAAGAGGAGGGTGGGGGGGAGGACCTGGCCTTCGGGGCCTTCCCTGTGCACTTCCCCCCCGAGCGCGAGGGCGAGCCGGGGGCGTTCGCCGGGGACCCCGCGGGCGTGGTCTGCGAGGAGGGCCAGGACGTGGGCGTCCAGGTGGAGTGGGACCTGTACGCGCCCGAGCACCACGACTCCCTGTCCCTCGCGGAGGAGGACGGCGCGGCGCCCTGTGAGTTTCGCCCCGCGGCTCTGAGGCCTGCTCTCGCGGAGCCCAGCGTGGCGTGCCGGGCTCCGGCGGTTGGTTTCTGACGTGATCCCTACTTTACAAAAGCGATCGTTAGATAAAAATGCACCGTGTGGCTCCTCCTGAGCTCTGTCTCGGCCCTAGTAGGAGTGTTAACAGCGAAGTGCCTGGATTTGGGTCATGTTTTGTATTCATACTCTATAAAATACTTTACTTCAAGTTTAAACATTAAACAGTTGCTTAAAAGTAAATGTCTTTGATAACAGAATTATTGAGTTAGTCATGGACAGATGGTAAAGTATGAGTATGTCTGTGCAGTTATGCTGTTTCACTCTGATAAGGGTGAAGTAGCTGTTTGTAGGCGCTAAGGGTGACTGAAGTTGGTTCCATCTTCTGTAGCGTTGTGATTGCCTTATGGCTGGGGCTTGACTCCCATCTTAAAGCCAAGTCTACACTGCTTCTGACTTGTTTTTGTTTATACAGCTGGTGATTTGCACTTGTTGCATCTCTGAAGTCTGATCTGTCCCACTGGCTATTGCGTAAAAAACGCAAATTGCTAAACTACTTCATCATTTTTCTTTATCTGTAATAGGGCACGGATACAGATGAAACCATGTCATCACACCGTGATTCCATTATAGCTTTAGTGCCCTTGGCAACAGCTGACTACACAGCACTTCACAGATCTGTGTTGCGTTTGACACCCCAGTGTGACTTGGCGGCTGTTTGTTTGGGGGATTTTAGCCACTTCAGAAATACACACGCTCACTTTTGGAAGTGGGCTTAGATTTTCGAGCCGGCACAACTTCCACACAGTTGCACATAGCTCTTAAGTAGTGGAGGCAGGTGTCACAGCCTGCTCAATTCCACTCTTTATTACCTATATATTTACCGGTGAGCCGACGCTGAAATCACAGAGGCTGCTACTTTCTCACATTCGTGCAAAAGTCACACAGATCATTTCAGAGTCGCGCACAGACTCACTCAAACACGTCCTTCTCATTCAAACAGCCCTGCTCTCTTTCACATCGGGCTGTCTGTGCTGTGTGTCAGTGCACGGTCTCCTCTGCGTTTGCTGCTGGAACCCGCCTCTCCAGGGGTTCAGATCTTTTACCAGCCCAGGGTTTCGGATACTTTTGAGCAAGCGAGGACCGGGATTGATCTCCCACAAAACCATTCCCAGGGACCCAGGCTGGGCACAATCCTGCACCCAAAATAATTCTCTGTGGGTCCAAGGGCTGAGGGTTCCCAGACGATGAGTTTGTGGTTCAATGATCCTAATCAATTATGCAGACTCTTTGCAAAGTCGGGCTATTTCAGGAATGCTGTACATCATTCTTCCTTTTCTGCATTTTCTCTTTTACCATTTGAAGTAATAGTGGTTTGAAGCAGAGAGAGACTTTGGGTTTGTATTAGCAGAAACATGAAGTGAGGTCTCCTAAGAACCCGAGAGACGTTGCAAACATTCAGCCCATGGCATTGAATGCATATTGACTTATGTCGTGGAATTTTATCAAAGAAGAGCCAGGAGAGGTATTCTCATTCACTCAGTAAGGTCTTTATTCACATTGCAATATGGGAGCCCTGCTGTCACTCTGCAGAGTGCGTCAGAGACTCAACTCATTACAAGCAGTACAGGATTTTATAAGATGTTGAAATGTAAGGAAAAGTTCAGCACTCTGTCCCTTCTAATACTTGTCCTTTCCTTAGGACAAAACGGATTACATCATAAAAACGAAAGAAGAAGCACCAATATATTTTAAGGCAAAGCTTATCAGTTACCTTCGGCTAATTTAATAACCCAGACAGTACATACTGTGTTGATACACTGTCTTCTAAAAGTAACCTAGACAGTGCGTACTTTGTTGACACACTCTTCTAAAAATCTGCACGTAGCACAGCAGTTACATCCTTGTTATATATTTTCCTAAAGCTCTCTACATTTTAAGAATCAATTTACTTATTAGATTTCCATTTCACTTATCTGCAGTTTGAGAATTTCATTAAAAAGATCAAAATCTACTTTTTTATATGCACTATTTGTATGAGCTGCTGCTGTTGCTTATTCACAGAACTGTAGCAAATTAAGCAAGACCTCACGTTATTAAATCATAATAAGATTATCACCCATTTTTTTTTTCGGAGATGCAGATTACACTGAGGATGAACTTCAGAGCCACGACCTTCGGATAATATCCGTTCCCAAGGATGATGGGATGTCCGAGTTCGAGTCCTCCGACTTCAATGAGGAGTTCCTGTCCTTCAGCCCCCCGCAGATGAAGACCGAGATGCCTGGGATGGAGGCCCTTCCGGGAGAGAGTGCAGCAGAGCTGGAGTCCGAGCAGGAGAAGGAGAGGGTAGGGAGAGCTCATGGTGCCGCTCGGCAGCCTCTCCAATGCGGTTGTTGGATTGTTCAGGTCTGGTTAACTGCAGGGCTGCTCAGGGGCTTCGAGCCATGATGGCAACAAAAGAGTCATATTGCTGAGGACTAAAGGTGTTGATAACAGATGAGATTTTGTTTTGTATTGCAGTAGCAGTGGCCTCCTTCATTCAGATGCTCCACTGTCCTTATAACAAGTCAGCGTGTGGGCGCTTGTAAAATATCCTTTATTTTCTGATCCTCATTTAACATTCTTTGAAGAGTTCCTAGTTTCTCTATAGTGTGTTCTCCTTGACGAAGCAAATCAAAGCCATGTTTCATTAGCTAGTCATCTCCCAGTATGTCAACAGCTGCACTGGCTCCTGTCCTGTATCTGGTTTACAGTGTTTGGAGAACCAGCTATACAGCTGGTTATGTTAGTATTGAAGTCCTTCATTGCCATACGTGGCTTCTAGAGCCAGAGACAGACCCCTGTTCTATAGGCCAGTGACCACCAGTACAGCACTGGCCCTGGAAGGGATGTTGTGTAAGGAGTCAGCCTGGTCCATTGTAGCTTCAGCCAGGAATGCTGGTTCCCATTAATACAGCTGGGTTGGCTGGTAGGTTCAGGCTGAAGTGCAGTAACCCAGCTATACGTTTCCACGGACATTGCGAATTTACAGAGCTGCTTTGCTTTCCAGATGCAGCTAGTTGTATTGTGTGAGCAAGAGTATAACTGTTTTAATGCTGTAATGCACTGTTTTACCACACTGTATTCAGTAATGTGTAGTGTTGTGTATATGCGCATTACAAGTGTGTATTGTACGCTTCTGTAAATATAAACAATAGTTTATAGTGTGTTGCCTATACTGCATTCAGTATTTTGTGATGCCAAAAGCTATGATTAATGAACAACTTTCAATTCATACAGCCGACATGTGGCTCTGCTCTGCACCCTTGTCCCGCGGTCTGACTGGGATCCTCGTCCTTGTCTCTTGCAGTCCGGGGAGTACAGCGAGTACGTGGAGCAGAGCTTCTCGGAGCAGCTGCGCGGCCGGCTCGAGGGCCTGGCTCCGGAGGTCATCCGCGAATACGAGAAGGACTCCTCCTTCTGCGAGCTGACCCGCCGCAAGCTCATCAAGATCGCCGTGGCCTACCTCGTGGAGGAGTTTGGCTTGTGCGTCTCGCTCTGGGACTTGACGTGATTGCGGGCGGAGGGCAGCGGGGGGGCCGTGAGGGAGCGGTCCTTCCTCTGTTTGGCTCGAGGGGAGACGGTCTGCGCTGGCCGCAGGGGTGAAGCGGTCAGGGCCCCTGGATTGCAGCGTTGGCAGGGTGGGGGGCTGCTGGCAACACAGGCGCGAGGATGCAGTGCTGGGGACCCTCTCTGTACACCCTAGTGCATCGGGGGGTGGGCAGCAATTTTACTTTCTTTCTCCTGAGGTCATGAACACCAGTTTGTTAATACAATGGCATAACCTTATGATAAAGAAGTTGCCAGTGTTTTGCAGAAGGCATTTTGTTGAACACTTGACTATGTCAGTTCATTATTCCAGTTAACATTCCTCATCAGCAGGAGGGTACAGGCTAGTAGTATGTGTGGCACCTGCTGGAAGGAATACAGGCTGTAGGTCTGAGTTGCGTGCTCTCTGCCACAGCGCCTGGATACGCGTGTCTGTCCGCCAGTCTCTGAGCCCTGGATGCACTTGTCTCCTGCGATGTTTTGATGTCGGTTGTGTTTGGTGTTTGTAGCTATCCCACCTCCGCACAGAAGACCATGTTGGCTGAGCACATCGTGGAGCTGTTCCCAGCACTGCGGCTGTGCGTTCCCTCTGCAGGAATTAACGGAATTGTAAGTAGCATTAGCGAAGGTGGTAGTCCACATGGTGCAGTCGTGTGTGTGATGGTGAGCAGGACACTTATTTGAAACTCAGCATGCTTGACTAATTTCCTGGCTTTATCGTGTTTTGGCAGTTCCTCTTTAGTAAAAGGTGCTGCATATCGTCATTAAAAAATATTTTGTAACTTAAGGAGCATTACATCCTAAATATTATTTGTTTCTTATTTGCAGGGCACACTGATTCCTGGTATTTACATTTCTTTACCATGTGAATTTGATGTAGCAGAATGTTGCTGCTTTGAATGAAAAATACTTTGTCTTACAGTTGTTGGAGTGAAGTTGCTTGCTCTTTTGAAAAGTTTGCACCAAGTGTCCTATTTCAGGACACCATTTTAAATGAATCGGAGTATAATTTCTGCGCCTCGTGTTTTAATGTATCTGGTTACTCAGCTGGTGACTCATTTGATTTGTAACATTTGAGCACATTGTTGAAACCAAGATCCACAATGCAATTCCTTGGAATGGAATATTTACTCATGTCTATTTCCCTATCTTCATGTCTCCTATCCCTTTAGTCCTGGGTTTGGTATCGTGTACACTATGAACTACTCCAGCAATCTTTTTGTCTTGTGATAACATTAAGCTGAAAAACGTATGTCACTTGTAGGACTAATAGATCAATTTTTTTTCTGGAAAGTTTGAGAGAGACATATAAACATGTTCCAAAATTGATGCATCAGAATAAGACCCAGGTGAGCTTCTCCAGTCTGCGAGGCTCAGACTCCTGTTTTCTGGGTGTCTTTGAATCAATACCTCAAGAGCTTTGGAATGGGATAAATCTTTGCAGTTCAACATGTAGCTCAGTCAGGCCATTAAGAACAGAGGTAGAAGGAAGCCCAGAAATGCTGTGGCCCCCCAGGCCTGGGGATGCACACCCCTGTGCTCAGACGTGTTTGAATTCTGGGTATTTAACTTGGGGGGTGTTTCTCCCAGGAGCTCAGCCTGCCTCTTGACAAGTTTGATCTTCACAGGAGCACCTGTATGACCCGGTGTCACGGACAGGGTACATTGAAACCAGGCTGCGCAACTTCAGGAGAACGCTGGAGGCCGACAAGAAGAAGTATGTGCTGAAGAGGAGAAGAGCTGAGCTGGGCATCGTGGACTCCAAACCTGGATCTAACGAGAAAACCAGTGAGGAGGCCAAGAAGTGGATCACCCTGATGAAGAAGACACGGCCTCTTGCTAAAAACCTGACCGTCATCAAGAACTGCATGGAGAGGACGTTCAGTGCGAGGAGGAAATGGATGGTGAGCAAAAGGCCCAGTTTGGACGTGGTCATCGCAGAATACCCACGATTCCTGGATGTGCCTTCAGCGGTAAGCCTGGCCTTCGCCTGTTAGAGCGGATTTCTAACGGCTGTTGTGCTTTACTCCTAAGAGATTAATACAATTAATGCTAACGTGTCATCAAAGGGACAGTAATTTTCCTTTATGGATAAATTAAGATCATTAGGTCATTTGTATTGCTACACATCCTGAAAAGTATGAAAAAGTATGTTTGTAGGACACGGTACCTGCGAAATTTAAGGATTTTGCAGAGAAAGGGTTTGAAGGAGCACGGGACAATGTGTTCAGCTCTGAATTTCTCATTCAAAGTGGTGCGTAGAAGAGTAGAGGGGGTTGTAAGGACTGATTTCTGCCTGTTGGTGTGCAGATCGATTCGGAGTTCGAAAGGATGTTCCCAGGCAAAGGAGAGAACTTTCTGTCCAAGTGGGAGACGTGCGTTCTGCCCAAAGTGCGCCAGATCGCGGAGAAGGAGAAGCTGCCTGAGATTGTCACCCTGCTGGAGCAGTCCCGCTCAGAGAAGGAAGGTGAGGTCGTCCTGAGGAGGCCAGTGCTAGCTGTTTATATATTGTCGTTTTTTGTTTTCAGCAAACAAACTGAAAGGGTAACAGGATATAATAGACCAACAATAATACCTAGAAAAGCATTTTAAGCAGTTTACCCAATTATTCATACCTAATACCTGAATCTAACCAGCCACAGATGAGCCAAAGAGAAGCACAGTTTCTTTCTGTGTCAGAAGGCACATTGACAGTATACAATAGCTATAAAGGTTCATCTTAACAACAGTCAGGCAGACCCCAGAATTCACCTTACAAATACACACATATATAAACATCTGATTCACCCATCCTGTTTGTAAGACATTGGTGTGTGGTTAACTACAGAATTATAAGACAACAGGACAAGGAATATTTTGCAATTGACCTCATTTTGAAAATGTTGGACCTTGGTGTTGCAAGGACAGAGTGGGGCTCCATTTAAAGTTAGAGACTGCCTCAGTGTACTACAACACATTACCAAGCATTATTGCGGGAGCCTATGGGTTTTTGTGTTGCAAATGTAATAGTACTTTTATAGCATAAAGACACTAACTAAATCGTAACTATTGTTCTTGCAGATTGCTATATGCTGACTATGCTGAAGGTGCTCATGCACATGTTGCCACCAGCTAACAACAGCAGAGCTTCACAACCAGCCAAGAGCAATACGAAGCCCCCCATCAACTACCTTGTGGATTTGGCACCAGTAAGTATCGAGTTCATGGGAAGATGCAGATTGAAAGGCACCAGTTTGAAACAGAGGGGTTGAATGCTTTGATAAGTGATGTTTCACTGCTAAGGAAAATGGGAAAGAACCTGCCCTGATAATGGCTTAGTACTTCTGTCCATCCAGCAGTGCTAAAGTCTGTGGCCTATCTTAAAATATATGTTTTGGTCTTACTTGTTGCATTGTTCTAAGTACATAATAGTAGTTATGTCTGTCATCCATGTGTACTAAGAAAAAAACTTGTACTGTTTGAATGTCACATGACAAACCTTGAAAACCTGTGATGTTTTATAGTCACATGGGAGCTAAAACATTGTATTTACAGATACAGAGGTTTGTGGTTTCAAGTCTCAGAAGCAGACACTGCTTCTGTATCTTTGTGGAGAGCACCAACTGTTGCAATCAGTCCAGATTTATTCATGTTCCAGAATTACTGGGATTGTGATGAACTTGCAATCCATCCAGGGAAAACTCCAAGCTCCAGGCCAGTAAGAACACGAAAACGCCTGTGGGGGACACCAAAACACCTGAAGGAGTTAGATCCAAGAGAGCAGTTACATTGCATCCGGCCTTTTTCTTACAACTTTTTTTCAGCTTGGGGTTGCCTGTCCCACAAGCAGTGGGCACAAGGTGGGGTACACCTGGACCTCTCGCGCCCTCTCGCGCCCTCTCGCGCCCTCTCGCGCCCTCTCGCGCCCTCTCGCGCCCTCTCGCGCCCTCTCGCGCCCTCTCGCGCCCGTCAGGAATTGTACCCAGGGCCCCGGCGCAGTGAGGCAGCCATGTTAACCACTGTGCCCTTCTTGGTAAGAACACTGAATGTCACAACACCTGCTGCTCTCACTCTCCGAAGAGGTAAGAACTCGGGTGAGCAGTCACGTTCTCTCGGGGTGACGCTGCCGTTCTTTATTTCTTAGATTGGAACCAATATTTCCACGCTGTTCTGTCAGCCTGACATGCCCAGGGCCGGGTCCCACAGCCAGGCCAAGCCGCGCATCCTGACCGTGGGCCCGCTGGACAGCCCCAGCAGGCGCTTCTTCGTCCTGGCGCCGGCAGAGAGGGTGGTGCTGCCCCTCCCGGAGCGCAGCCTGGGCGGCGCCGTTGACAAGCTCTTCAAGGTGCTGCGCGTCTTCAACCTGGGCTACCCCGCGCCGCTGGCGCCGCTCTGCAGCTTCCTGGAGTACATGTACGGCATCGAGAAGCCCGGCCACTCTTCCGGCGGGAAGAGGACCAAGGTGATGGAGCTGGTGTCCAAGCTGCACATGCTGCCGTGACGCGCGGCGGCCAGCCAGCTGCTCCTCCCAGGGGCCCTTTCAAAACTGTAGGAGTGGGGCGGCGCTGCTAGTTCCTCAGCCCTCGGGAAGCTCTGGGACAGGACGGGAGTTTAAAGTCACCCTGTCGCAGGAAGAGGCTGGCCTGTGAATTGAGAAATGTTTTTTAAATACTTTGCACAGCATTAGAATTCTTTTCACGAAATGCATCTTAGTGTTCATTATTCATTTAGTATTTTCAGTTGAATCACATCTCAAATCTGTTGGCTGCCAACGAGTAATTTCACGTTCTGGCTGACGTGGGTGTGTCCAGGTGAGGCCACACTGATGAGCTGTTCACTCACTGGCTGCACAAGGCAGTAGGAAAGCCTTGTTTAGGGAACCACGCACGGTTTTGGTATTTGTTCTGAAATTGGTCCAGAGAAAAGCAAACGAGGCTTTCTGGGACCTTTAAGGAATATCCTCCACTGCAGGACTGATTATGAACCTTTTTAGTTTTAAACAAAGAGGACTGCAAGGAAACCTGATACAAGTATCGATAAAGCTCAAAGGCTACACAATGGATGTATCCAGGATAAACAGTGGACCTCAACATAGGATACAAGTGGAAACTAATGGCATAAAACTGAGAACTGGAGACTACTTTATCCAGACGGTTTTGAAGTCTAGAACAAGCTACCTAGCCATGTTGAAGCCTATACCCTGGCTTCCTTCAAGAGCTGGATGAGTTTCTTGGGTCATCTGCTACTAAATGGCATAGCTGGGCTGAATTGCCCTTCTCTCATTTGTAACCATTATGTTTGTAATTTGTTCTTATCATTGAAGGCAGGAGCTGTGTGCAGTTAGTTACCTATTGGCTGCACATGGTAATTAAGCAACATTACTAGTTTTACTGAGGTACTGCGGTTAAAATTTCTTCATTTCTAAAGGCGTCTTTACAGCCCTGTCTATAGGGCCTGTTTTGAACGGACCAATGCAGCTCATTGATTGGTGGTCATTCATTAATAATGGGAACGAAAAGCTTCTTGAAGTTCTATGTAGACATTGGCAGACTTTCACTTTTTTCAGTTATTAAATGTTTTAAACAATCATTTTAGTTTTAATATTTTTGCGAAGGTTGTTCAGAGATTGTTGGGTAAAACTGAGTATTGTATATGCTTTGTATTACAAATATATATGTATGTGATGAAATCAGTAGGTTTTGTAGAAGCAAGCTGCATGAAGATGGACAATGAGCCATTATTCAAGAGTGTTAGGGGAGGCTCTCATGAAACGGTGGGTGTTGATGATGATGATGATGATGAAATGCATGTATACACAGGCATACCCTAGTCAAACCCATATGAACAGTGTGGTGTGTGGTATAATGCTGGAAAGCATAGAAAAGTGTGATATACCATGATTGAAAATGGAAAGCCAAACCGAAACGGATGTACAGTAAGAAATCTAAAGACCTAGCATCCTAAACTGGCATGTGTTTGTAAGGAATACTATGTTTTACAGTGGAAGATGCTAACATAGGATCAGCAGTAGAATTAATTTTGGGATGTAACCCATTTCTTTTCCATAGGTCTCCTTTTGTGCTCAAATGGACATTAAACTTGTCATTCTTGGTTTTTTTCCCAAATGTTTTTGACATTTTTGTGTTAAATAATTTCCTGGTTCTCAAGGGATGAAATCTTTCTAGTTTACTCTTTAAATCTAACTAGAACTAGAGGAAATGTTTTCAACAGGGCCAGTTTGAGAGTCTTCTTGACCATGATTTTAATAGTGGTTAGCATTCCTGCTCCTGGAGAATCATGGTCTACTGCTTATTATTGTAGCTGAGCTCTACATAAACAGTGTTAATTGATTACTTAATTGATTTGCTTGCTCATTTAAACTTTTAACTTGTTTATGTAGTCAATCCTGAGTGTTACCAATACGCAAAGTCAAGGGTACCATTTACAGCAGCATCAGCACACACAGAGCAATACACAGCCTCCCCTCATCTTGCCTGTGGATATATCTAACAGCTCTCAAGAACTGACTAGACACAGGTGGGAATGATAGTATCAGACAACTCCCACATTGAGCATTTTTCCATGTACAAAGGCTGCACATCAGAATGAGGGCAGTTGTTGTTGCTGCTACCCATTTCAAAACCCTGGACCTCTTACGAGCTGAATGCAAATTAAATGTGACCCCCAACAGAAAACTGAAACTAAGTAGCCTGTGATTAGGCACTCAGGGCAAAAAGCAGAAGACTGTTGTTTCAGGACCAGTGTTGGGAACCGCTGAGTTAGGTTCTAGAGACAAAAGTGTGACCCTAGGACTCGAGGCCTTGTGACTACAGTGATGTAATCCTAGGTTGAGTTTGAGAAATAACCGTGTCATCACATTACATCATGTAACCCCAGCATCCTTGCCAAATTTCCCCATTGGCCATTACCAATCATGGGCTCCTGATAATCCCCATCTATGAACTGGCTTCATCACTCTGCTCTCCTCCCCACTGAGAGCTGGTGTGTGGTGAGTGTTCTGGTGCACTATGGCTGCTGTTGCATCATCCAGGTGGATGCTGCACATTGGGGGGGGGTGGAGGGGATCCCCATTACCTGTAAAGCGCTTTGAGTGGAGTGTCCAGAAAAGTGCTATATAAGTATAAGCAATTATTATTATTATTATTATTATTATTATTATTATTACAAAAATGTAACTGATGTTGCAAACAAGTCTTATTATACATTTATCATAATGCTCAGGCCGTGCACAAAGCGGACCGGACCTGGGACCTGTCGTTTTCATCTTGCATGCTTGTAGATGCAAAGTACTGCTCCCCTGCTGCCATCAGGAGCCCAGAGCCCCAGTGGGCCCTACAGCCGATGGACTGTCATGTGGTAGAAGGTGTGAGGGAATAAAAGGTGAGTGATATGTCACTAAGCAAAGATCTGTAACCTGCTGTGTGAGAGCCTAGTGTCCCAGGAGTCATCCCCAAGTACCATGTACTTAGGAGTTTGTTTCATTTGAAATGCACTCGTCACCGCCGATTGATTTTTATAAACCCAAACTGTCAAAATAGTCTAGCAGTTCCCTTTTAATTTTAAAGTTACTCAGTCCGCCCGCTGGTAAAGACGGGAGTGTGTGAACCAACCGATAGTCGACAATCTCTGCTTCAAGGTATGGTCAGCTCTCTTCATATTGGAGCTGAGACCACACCAAGAACATGTGCAAAATAAAAACAGTGACTGCCGTCTCAGATTCTTATCTGAATTATGTAGTAATAATTACAGAACCTGAAATTATAGTATGATCATATTTATCTCAAGACAGCAGCTAAGCAAGAGCTGTCCATACTGTCATGTACAGAATAATACAGTGCTATTCCTAGAGCACTGGAGTTCCTTTTCAATCCCCCCCCCACTTCATTAAATTGCTTATTGGTAAACAGGTGTGAAGCCACATCGAGGAGTTTCCTTTCCTTATAGCTGTGCAGGCCAGTCTCTCGGTCTAGGATGAAGCAGCAATACCGTGTAGTGTATCCCATTCATCCCTAACAATGACATCAATGGGCACAAGCCACATTCCCTTTGGGCCTAGACAAATATAGTGATCTTTCCCAACCAAACCCTCCGGGCACGAGACTGGGGGGTGTGAAAAGGCACTTGTCATACATGATCCGGCAGCATCCTTGTTAATTTTAACAGCACCTTTACCTGCTGCCAGACATCTGTTAACATATCGTATCGCACAATGGCAAAGACCGTACTCGTGTGTTATAACAGGGGACACAAATGTCTAGTTCGTTGGTGAAAAGAAAGCACTGAAAATTCACACACAGTACTGTCTCCTGCCATCGCTATTTTTACCTCAGTTCTGCCCACTTAGCATGTGACTTGCACATCCTTATCAAGACAGGCAAGCGGGACAAAGGTGACGAACCACAGTATCAGACTTCAGCCTAAATCAGCACTGTCATGTTCTTCATTTCTTAATGTGCTTTGTTGGCATCTCAAGGCTGAAGGAGAGGCACATCCACAGCCCTCGTCTCGGGAAGCCCAGCATGGCGAACTGTTTGCTCTGGTGAGCTGCCCGAAACCCGCTGATGTCACAGCTTGATCACAGTGTAGCTCTGCTTCTCTGCCTTGTGGATCTTCTGGTGTTGCGTCAGCGAGCTCTGCTGCCGGAACTTGTCCCCGCACTCGGCACACTGATAGGGCGTCTCGCCCGTGTGCTCCTGCTGGTGCCTCTGGAGCTCCCCCTGCAGGCGGAAGCTGGCGCCGCAGTCCCAGCAGCGGAAGGGCCGGTCCTGGGTGTGGATCAGCTGGTGGGAGCGCAGGTGGGAGGGCAGCCGGAAGTCCTTGCCGCAGTCGGGGCAGCGGTGCGGCCGCTCGCCGGTGTGGATGGACTCGTGCTGCTGGAGGTACTTGGCCAGCCGGAAGCTCTTGCCGCAGGCTGCACAGCGGTGCGGCCTCTCCCCCAGGTGCAGCTTGCGGTGCTGGCTGAGCCGCACGTACAGCCGGAAGCTCTCCCCGCAGTCGGGGCACGTGAACGGCTTCAGCCCCTTGTGGATCAGCTGGTGCCTCCTCAGGTACCTCTTGCTCTTGTAGCTCCGCCCACACTCGCTGCAGCAGCACTGCTGCTCCCCGGCCGGCGCTGGCCTCGCGAGGGGGTCCCCGCTGGCCGGGGGAGCTGCCAGTTTCTTCTCCTCTGCTGCAGGCCGGAGCACCTTGAGCCCGTCTGCCACAGCAGCCAGCTTCCACTCGTCTTTCTCCTCTTTAGCCACAGGGGGGCGCTGCTCAGAAAGCACTGCCCCCAGTTGAGCACCTTCCAATTCATCTCTCTCCACTTTCACCGGCCCAGCGGGTCTGTCGGCAAACTCCTTCTCGCTTTTAACTGGGCAGAAACCCTCACTGGTTTGGAAAAGGCCTGACTCGGATTTCTTTTCCAGGTGAGCAAAGGTCACATCCGTAATTTCCTCTTTAAAGGCAATGGGCTCCTGCTTCATTTTAAAATATGGTATTTCAGCCTACTTCAGTTTGTTTTTGCACTACTTCTGTTCTGCAAAGACAGAAAGGGGATTTCATTCCATTTGTCCTCAAGAGTGCAGTACGTCTTGATCCCTGTCCTACAGAGTCAGGTGATCTGTTTTTCCACCTGACCTGAGAGATCCTTCATTACCGCATGCTGCACGGTATCTGTTTAGTCGAAAGGCTGTTATTTTGTGAAGAATGTTTTGTGCACAGTTTCTGTAGTAACTTAAAGATCTGAAGATGCATGAGTTTGCTGAGAAGACACCATATTCCAAGAGCTGTTTTCAAGACATTTGTTAGCTGCTCTTAGACCAAAAGGCAGGTCCAACAAGAGGGATAGTGATGGAAAAGGTGTGACTCCTGGCTTAGTTTTGTACACCAATCTGAGAATGAGAAATCAGTTCAGAACTGTGGTGCTCAGCACCTTATTGTGTCCACAACGGAACCAAGCAGATCCGGTTAAGGAGCAGTAACTGGAAGATACGCACCTGCCTTCAGTCTGTTCAGTCGGCGATATGCTCAGGCTGGAAATGGGCCATTTAAAACTGAAAAAGTTAAGAAATTAAAGGTATTTATTGTCACGCACAGAAGCAAGGGGGGCTTGATTCTAATTGATTATTTCATTAGCGCCGATTTACTTCTCCTGCAAAGTGAATGTGCACAACATGCTCACAGATGTATGCGATTTTGGACGGGTAAAACTGCCTCAACTTGTAAGGGCAATACAGCTAATGGCTACACGGCGTAGACTGGCGTCTTAAAACTAGAATTTTCAATATTGTACACAAATCCTGGCAATGGATAGCGGCACTTGAGTGTCACCAAACCGCGCTGACAGTAATGATCCCTTTATTTTCGGACGCAAACACAAGACAGGGTCGCGATGTCTGTGTTTTGACTACGTTGCTTGCGAAAATAAATTTAAATTGGTAGTCTATTATGATCAAGCTTAGTTCTGCCGATAAAAGCAAAATGTTTTTAATACACCAAATAAAATCATAACTTGGATGTCTTTTTTTATTCGTATAACTACATTTAATTTTATTCTGTTAATATAATTTCAGTTTTGCAATAACAGCATAGCTAATTGAAAACTTACTTAGTGCTCTTCCGCGACGTTTTTGTTATTACTTTTTTTCAGGGAAAATTACATTTTCTGATTAAATAATACAAATGCCTTTAGCGGAAAAAAAAAGCAAACCTCGACCCGGATAGACACGGCCTATTGTTCATGACCCGGAAGTATCAGTTGCCTGGGTAACGGCGGTAACAGATACGGCCATTCACGTGGAGGCAATGCCAACAAATATAAATACACCCCAAAACCGTGTTTCGTCAGTCGGTGTCGTTTCACACGTTTACAGTCCGTGACCGAAAGTAATTTTCATTCATTACTTTAAAACCAGGGCTCAGTTTCTGAGATGACGTCTCATATACCATCCATCTCAGGGTACCCTCCAGTGTTGAGTGTGTGTCAGTCGGTTATATCATGTTCTCCTTCATCTTATCACACTTCTAACCCCATGTAATTTGAAGTTTGTGCGTTTTGCACTTATGTTGCGCCTTAGGACAAGAAGGCACCCAGATAAAAGTGAACTGTTGTTTCTCATGTGTGTTTTAAAGGTTCAGAGTGGGTTGTGTGCCTCCCTCCTCAGAGCCTTTGGGGTCCCCTGCACTAGTAGTGGGTCTGGTGTTCGTTTGTGGTGTTCAGAGGCTGTCAGGGTTTTCCAGTTCTGGCCCAGGAGGACACTTACACCTGCTGTTACAATTTTGGTATTTGCTGCAAAAACATTGCTGCATTCTTCTGGTGTGAACAGTTTATCTCAGGGCTTCAGCTGTAGCTCAGGTATTTCTGTTGCATCCACCTTCTCTCCCTCACGCTAACCTGAGCTCCTGTAACAAGCAGAACTGTATGTGACACTTCGTTCAGAAGCAACTGAACCAACATTTCCTCCCGGAGTTGGTTGGTGTGGTTTCATTGTGCCCCCCCCCCCACCCACTAAGATACTAAGACAACGTGCTGTGGAGACTTAGGTTGAGATTGCTTAATCCCTTTGACAGAAGGTATGGTCTTTGTTCCGTTCTGAATTTTGACTGACTTATTTCATACGTGCTCTCTTTTGTTTGCTATGTACACAAGCCAGGGACAGCAGTGTTCTGTCAGTCACACGAAATGAAGTTTTTTTTCCACAGCTCTTAGAATAATTGCTAATGACAGGTGTGGCACCCAGTGGCTGGAACATCGCTACTGTAGAGCCCATCCATTAAAAGGCTGACAACACTGAACCATGGAATTGCAACAGAAGTCAGACTCAATCTCTACACTTATGGAAGGTTATATTACTGCAGGCTCTGCTTAACTTGGTTAGACTTCTCTGAACAAGCAACGACAGTAATGGATACACACAGCATGCATTCAGTGTGGAGTATTTACAGTATCAGAAGAATTTTTGATGAAGTGTCACATAAGAGATAAATTCATATGAAGGCAGTAGACATTTAAGCACATGCAAGTGTCTAGGTTAGGAAGAAGAGTGCAGTCCATCTTCTCTAGAAATGTCTTCGACAGCTGCTGCTGTCCTCAGAGACGTGGGTTTACCTCATCGACTGGCTTTAGGACGCTGACAGACGTGAACCCCTGCTCCAGCGCTCACCGGGGACCTTGTGTGCTATAGTAATCATAATTGCTTACACTTATATAGCGCTTTTCTGGACACTCCACTCAAAGTGCTTTACAGGTAATGGGGTCTCCCCTCCACCACCACCAGTGTGCAGCCCCACCTGGATGATGCGACGGCAGCCATAGTGCGCCAGAACGCTCACCACGCATCAGCTATCAGTGGGGAGGAGAGCAGAGTAATGAAGCCAGTTCATAGATGACTAACTGTTGAGTTCACCGAATGAGAATATGAGTTTCGTTAAAGACAGCCTGCACCTGTCCCTACAAGGGAGGCAGCTGGTTAACCGCGCCTTGCACGAAAAATAGTATCGGTCCCTTTTCACTTTTCCTTACCCGCCTAACCTTGGCACACACGGGCAGAGGGTTCTGCAGGATTCGGTTTTCGCCACAAGGGGGAGCAGCGCGCTGCCGGAGAGTCTGAGTCATCCCGACTGCCGGGGCTGCAGTGTACAGGCATATAATCATGGAATATGACATAATAGCCGTAATCATAGGGAACAGAGGGCCTATTGTGCTTCTTCAATTAATGGCGATTTTTGCGGTATGAGTGTAGGTAAAGTAGGCTTTTTTGTTTTAAAACTATTTTTGGAGTAGCCACTTATACGAACGCAGAACTTCTCAAAAACCAGCGCTGTTATCTCAAAGACGTGAACGATGCATAAGAGAAGTGAACGAACATAAGAGAATACAGACTGCGTTACCACCAAACGCCACAAGACGGCTTTGCACAGTTATTCGCGTCTTCTCAATACCCTTAAAACCCCGCAGAGACGAAGAATTACCTGTACAATCCAAACTGTCTACTACCTTTATAACTGCTTCAGAGAATTTGCTGATGGCATAAACACCCCTTCAAAAAAGGTTCATATCATCTTTAAACCACCTGCAGCCAAACATTTAATCCTGTGAAACATGACGTGTTCCTTTAGAGCCGGGCTGAGCAAACACTAGCGATTTGAGAAAGGCTGGTGGCTCGAAACTGAATTACTGTACATTCCCACTGCTTCAAGTCATATTACTACCATGTAGTTCAGGACAGAGGATACTGCTAGTTTCTTTATCCGAATTGTCAAAAAAAAACATTTTTGAAATAAGATTATTAAATCACTGAGAAACATCATTTAACACTGCAACTATAATTTGAATGTAAGAGCTTGCCTTAACCTGATATTTCTAATCCTTCGAGATGAGAAATGAGAAATGCTTATAATGATCTATCCATTCATTTTCTAAATCACTTTGTCCAGTACAGGATCAGGGGGGAGCAGGAGCCTCTCCCAGCAAGCAACAGGCACAAGGCGGGATACAGCCTGGATGGGACGCCAGTCCATCACAGGGCAGACGGACACAAACTCTGCAGCCCATTTACTCAGAAGCCAGTTCACCCACCTGTGTGCTCGTGCCCTGGGAGAGGAGACTGGAGCACCAGAGGAAACCCACGTAAACAGGAGGAGAACATACAGACTCCACCCAGACAGCAGCCCAGGCCCAGAACAGGACCAAGGGCCCCAGCGCGGTGAAGCATTAATGCTAACCACTGCAAAACCATGTAGCCTGAATGAAAACATTTTCAATTTTATTAAAAAGTTCCATTTTAACTGAAATTTAAAAAAGAACAATTAGAACGTTTTCCTAGCTGCTTGGGCCCTAAACACGCATTTATTTTGCCTTATCCTTAATCTGGGCCTTGTTATTTTCTCACATATTGAAAATGCATACATATATCTGCTCCAGTTTCACCAGTCATTCGGTCTCTTTCGCGTGGTAATGAGATTGTCACAGTGCACTGTAGAAAAGGGGTTGTTTGAACTTCGTTTGAAGGAAACGTTTCGGGGTTTTGCGTTGCAAAATAATTACAGAAAACCACTCATTTTCTTCACACAGCCCACTTTATGGGTAACTCAGAGACCAGACATGCTAGATCGATGTAGGAAAGTCAGGTGTTGCGCATGTGCTATGCATTTTCCTTACAGATATTTTTTTTTACATAAAAACAGGGTTGGCGGTTAAGCACACGGTAATACCGATTTAAAGCTTAGAAATGGAGGACATCGACAATTTGAAAAGTTCCCCCAGAAGAAATATTTTAAATATTTATTTAAATGGTGAGCTGGGACGTTGTCAGTGCTTTTGTACTGCAGAAAATAACTTTCAGAAAATCGCCTTTCAAACCGATCTCACCAACACTGGAAGCAGAATGCTTTGCTACTCTTAAAATCGAGTACTGATTTTCTCAAATGCATTTTAATTTTTAAACATCTTTCTTAAACAGTACTCTCTGAAATATGTAGTAAAAGGTAAAATTCAGAACATTGCGGTTGGCTACTGGAAAAACAACCATACTCGTTTCTACTACACGTGCGTCCGAAATGATACCTGGGAAAAGTAGTTTAACCAACACTGCCCTTCCGCCGATGGGCGACTAGAAGGACTACATCTCCCATACGCCTCCGAGAGCAGGGAGTGCCCAGTTTTCAGATTAATCCGTTTACTTTCGTGTTGCAATAAACGTGGTTGTGAACGACGAACAGAAACTGTGATTCTTGCATGTTTTTACAAAAATAAATTTCTACATAATCGTAAAATATTTTACTCAAATTGGGTTTCGCATCAGATTAATATTCTTTCAGTTTCTCGTGTAAAGCTTTAATTTCGTTGTGGGTGTTGGCGCTGGTATTAATTTTACCGCGGCAAATAAGTAAATATATTTTAAATAGCACAGAATTATATTCAAATAGACTTTGTATTAACAGAAAAAAATAAGATAAGGCTTTAACGTGTCAGATTTGAAAAATAAGTTA